TAGCCATCTCCCTGGCTTGTTTGCATGCTCAAAATAAATTTGTTTGGTCATTTTCAGACTAATCTCCAATTTTTCTTGTTCCAGTAAATTTAGTTTATGTTTAGTTGTTATTAACTGATTCTGTATTCTTTGATTTTTGGGGTTCTTTTGTAGTTGGGTTTCTAAATCCTTAATTTCTTGTTGTAAGTTACTTTGTTGGGCATACTTTCTTTTATTTCTCATAGCATTGTAAGAGATTGTTATTCCTCTTATAAATGCCTTCATTGTGTCCCATATATTTTGTTTCGAAGTTAGTTCATTATTATTTTCCTTTAAGAAGAATTTCAGTTCTTCTTTCACTTTATTAGAATATTCTTCTTCTTTTATTAAATGAGTATTAAGAGTCCATCTTCTCTTTGGTTTTCTTCTACCTCTCCAGGTTATTTGAATTGGGTTGTGGTCAGCCCAGTCGTTTGGTAAGATTTCGCTATCTTTGATTTCATTAATTAATTCACCATTTATCCAAGCCATATCTATTCTTGTCCAAATTTTGTGTGGGTTAGAGTAATAAGTAAACTGTTCTTTTTTGGGGTTTAGTTTTCTCCAGATATCTACCAGATTCAGTTCATTCATCATATCCTTACATGACTTTGAAAATTCTCTTTTTCCTTTTTTATTCTTACTCATGTTACTATGATCCTTCCGGTAGTCAGCAATAGAGTTAAAATCGCCAATCAGACAAATATTGCCTTTTTCGAAATCTATTATTTTTTGGTGGAGATGTTTGAAAAATTTACCTTGATCATCATTTGGGGCATAGATTACTACCAGTAAAAATGTAATGCCATTAATTGAAGTTTGTACCACCAGAGTTCTTCCTTCAGGGTCCGCCCAGATTAATTCCGCTTTTAAATCATCTCTCATATATATTGCAATACCTTTCTTTTTGTGCTTATCTGCTGGTGCTGTAAATAATTTTCCCAGTTTTGGACAATCTAGAAATTTCTCCTCACTTTTCCTAATGTGTGTTTCTTGTATGCAAATTATATCAACGTTTTGTTTTATTAGTTTGGTTAGAATCCTCTTCCTTTTAGCTCTTGAATTTAGGCCGTTTATATTGATGGAAAGGATTTTCCTTCCTTCCTCCATTTACTTAAGTCTGCCTCGCTTTTTGTCTCGTAATTATACGACTCTCTTCTTGTGGTTGATATGGGGATGTTTCTACTCTTTCTTGTTGTAGGTTGTCTTTCTCTTGAGTTTGGACGGGTCTTTCTTCTTTGTTTCTATGGCGGTTCCGATCTTCCTGCGTGTTCCTTTGGGTTTCCTCCCTAGTGTGTTGATCCTCCGTGGTTGTTAGCTGTTCTAGGAAGTCTTGTGCTTGTTCTACTGAGTCTATTTTAATTTTTCTTCCCTTCCACGATATTAGCATCCCTTCTGGAATTTGCCATTTGAATGAGATTTCTTTTTTATTTAAGTGGTTAGCTAAAAATTTATATTCTTGCCTTAAGGCCCTCACTTTTCTTGGAATCTGCTTAAGAACTATGATCTCTTTGCCCTTATATAATATTCTCTCATCTCTGGCCATTCTAAGTATTAGGTCTCTCACGCATCTTCTTGAAAAGCAGATATGGATCTCCCTTGGGCACTTGTGACGCCTTGCGTAACTGGTGTTCACCCTATAGACTTCGTCGAATTCTTTGAGTAGGTCATCTTTCTCTTTTTCAACTAGTCCAGCCAACAAACCTGCCATTAATTGCTCTAGTTCTTCATTTTGGGATTCCTCCACGTTTTGGAACCTTAGGTATGCCGCTGCTCTGTCCATCTCAAGTTGGACCAAGGAATCTTCCATTTCTCTATTAACATTTTTAAAGTCTTCCTCAGTCCTTTCTAGGTTCCTCTCCGCTTGTTCTGTCCTCCTCTCTATTTCTTTTATTTTTATTTCAGTTCTTTCCATGGCCAATTGCATTGTCCCAACCTTATCTTCAACTTTCTGTATATCTGCTCTCATCTCCTCTTTTAATTTCCCCATTTCTTCCTTCAGTTCGCTAATATCGGCTCTGGTCTCATTGTGGTTCCTAATCATAATCTTCTGCATTCTAGACATTGATTCTTGCAGGGATAATAGCGTCACTTGCAGATTGGCATTAGTGACGGTCGGTTGTTTTTCTCCTGTCAAGGTCTCTTCTATAGTTTTCTGTGTTGTTGGGGAGGCAGTTGCCAAAGTTGTCGTCAAGGTCTGGGTGTTCTTCCTTCCCGTTTTCAAGGCCGTGGTTGTTGTGGAAGTCATCTCTGATAGATTTGTTTTTGCAATTGGACAATGTTAAGAATATTATCCCAAATCACCATTCGATGTAATAGCCCTTTAAGTGTGATTGCAAGTCTATTTACTAAGCTTACACACCAAGTTATTTTAGAACTCTATCTTCGGCCTAATTTGTCGCTTAGGCAATTTAAATTCCAATTCAATAAAGAGTTATCAAATACTATACAATAGAATGTTATCAAATATTGGGACTTCCGGTTTGTCGGCTTCGCGAGTGGCAGGGATTTGCGAAGCTGCGTGATCCCTGCCGCGCTAGCCGCTTCTGGGGCTCCGACCCAGACGGGTACGGAGCTAGGCTGCCCTGCAGGGGCAGCTGAAGGTAGGGGGGATCCGGAGAAGGGTGTGGGGGTGTTGCAGACCCCCTCCCCGGCCGGCAGAACCCCCTTTTCCCAGGACGGTGCAGCGGCGGTCCGTAATGGCCGCCACAAAGAAGCTGGCAGCCGGGTAAGAATGCGCAGGAGGAAGTGGAGAAAGTGCTTGAGAGGAGAAAGTTTTTTCTTGGCTCCTAGGACTCTAAGACATATTTAATAAAATTCCTGAAAAGTATGACTTTCTGAATAATACCTGCCAGAAGAGGAAAAAAGCGGCTGTTTGATGGTGCTGAAAGGATAGCTTTCCCTCTTTTCCTACGGAATAAATAACTGGATATTAAGAAACCTATTTTTTTTAGGTGAAAATTGGTTTTAAGCGATGAGTGGGAAGAGAGAGGATTAAAAAGAAAATATTTGTATGCTAAGACTTTGTTGGAGCAGATGCCTTAAGGATTTGAAGACTAGAAGATATTGCAATAAGATTTTAAACAGATTTGGACTTTCTTTCTCTTTGATTGATATTACCCCAGAAGGAGAAAGTGAGAACTCTGCCTTGGTTTGGACTGACTGATAACTTTGGGACTGTTTTATTTTTTTTATTTTCTTTTGAATATTCTGGTTGTTGTAAGAAGAAAGAAGGGGAAAAGAAAAGAAAAGATTTATAATGGCTCTTTCTGTTGAGGAACTAAGAAAAGAATGTGAACAAGCAAAAAAAATGGTAAAGATGGTGTGGAAGAAGCTTTCCTTTTTTTAGAAATGGCGCTTACTAACTATCAACAAACATTACAACAGATGAAGACAGCAGAGGAACAAGAAAGAAAGGAAGGAGCCATTTTTAATGAATCTCAGAATTTGATCAAGAAAGAAGGAAGAGAGAAAAGAAGAAAACTAAAGGACTTAAGATCTAAAAAAACATTTAAGAAAGGGAAAAATAAGGTGCAAAACCAATATGATGATAGTAAACAAAAGGGAAAAGGAATACGACAGAGAAGGGAAGCCGGTAAGGCAGAGGTTAGAAGAAGGGGGGGTAGAAAGGTTTGTTGGGAGAAGAAAGAAAGGGAAAAGGTGGAGAAAAGCTACAATGTTTTGAAATTAAATGGAAAAAAGAAATTTTTTATGGATAATGGATAAAGTATAATTTTATTTTTTTTTTAAAAAAAGATTTTGCAAGGTACATAAGATGAGATGGTAGTATTGTAATGGTTTAAGAGTTGATAAGAGATTAAAATGTTAAAATGTTTAAAAATGATTGGCTTTAAAATTTAATAATAGGGGAGGTTTAGAATACTGTTTTAATTAAAGAGTTTAATAAGATTATGGTATTGATGTTATTATAAAAATTTTATTATAGTATCTTTTTTTAATATTTGGATTTAGTGTCTAATTATGTACTTAATTATTTTGGATGTATTAGTTAGATAGAATGTACCAAGCAAAATCGGATTGGGTATTGGATATTATTTTAAAGATTAATTTGACTAACTTAGGGGGGAGATAGAAAGGCATCATACTCTGATTAATGATTTCAGGAGAAACTTATTTTCTTCTTTTTTATAAGGAATGAGACAAAGGGATGATAAAAAATGGACAAAAGATACAAATATAATGATTCAAACTAAGATGATTAATTAAGATAGAATTAAGAAGGGTGAAATATGTGGAGAAGTTAATATAGAAGGCTTAGAATGGTAAATAAAATAAGTAATGATATGTAAGATGAGCATGAATATAATTGAAGTCCATGAAGAGAGAGACACCTGGGTCCAAGTTACTTTCCAAAAAGATTTTTTTTATGTTTTGTGTGTTGTGTGTATATGTTTTTTTGGGGGGGAGAATTAGTAAAAACTTGTAGAAATATAGAATGAGAATAATGGTAACTAAGTCAGAAAGAAATAGATGAAATAATAATAATGATATTGAATAAGAGTAAAGAGAAGTAAAGAGAAATTGAATAAGAGGTTTTGGTATGTTATATGGAAATGGTTTAAAACAGAATCATAATTTATCTGACTTGTTAAATTTACAATGAAAAAAGGTTTAAACATGTAATGAATAATGATAATTTGTGTGTTTTAAAAATTAATAAAACTTGTTTAAAAAAAAAGAATGTTATCAAATATTTTGTATTATGTATTATATATTATTCTCTATACTAAGTTCATATATCAAAGTTAATTATATTTAACCCCTAATACATCAATACCATATCAAATCAAACTTATTTAAAGCTAGCAAACAACTCTAGAATTTCTCACTCTGTATATACCTTTATCCTATAATGTAATTAATATTCAAGGTTCCAGTTAATCTGAGTCAACCCTATTTAACAGACCTTAAAATTTTTGTATATTCAAGAGACTCTAATCAGTAAACCCTAATAACTATAATAAGCAGTTTGCCTTTACATCTATATTTCTAATTATTATAGAGAGAAAGGAAAGACTAAGAGAGAAAGGGAGAGAGAAAGGGTGCGGGAAGAAAAGGGTCTTTTAGATTTCGGGGAATCACTAAACACGTATCTGTGGGATTAGTTCCATAGAAAAACAAGTCTGAGTTGAGGCTGGTGTTGTAGTCTTATAGTCTTTCTTCCTGGGCGCACCGAAGGAGCAGGGGGAGGAAGTGCTGACTAATTGCTGTCAGCGCTCAGCATACAGTCTTTACCAGATTTCCGTCTGTCTCTTCCTTCTTCTTCTTCCCTCTTCTTCCTTTCTGCCAGCAATTGTCAGTCCACAGTCACTTTGAGTGTCCATCTCAAATCGATCACTTTGGAAATCAGTTTGGTAGGCAGTGTAGCTACAAAGAAGAGGACCTTACATATAAAAGTCAATGCGTCGCTATCTCGCCCTCTACAGCTCGCTCTGCCCTCCTTCGCAGCTATAGTTCTCCCCTAGTCTTCTAGTCTTCTCAGGCGCTGATCCCAGATGGCAATCCACTCCCGAGCTTCTTAAAGTTCCCACCACCTTCCTCTCTCCTCGGCAATCTTCTTCCAAACGCTCCAATCCACACTTTCACTTTAAGTGTCGAGCCATTCTGTCTGCGTTAATCCCCCTTTCACTTTTCGAACTGCTTTTCTAGCCGCTTGTCTCCAGCATCCCACCACTGTTACTCACACTGAAAGAGGGAGAGTCAGACCGATCTCACTCACGGCTTTTGTTGTCCTTCTGCCCTTTTCAGCTCGGATCTTTCAGGCTATCACTTTTCGCTTTGTCAGTTCAGTGACAGACCGGACTTTGGAGCCGCCATTAGCTGGCGGCTGGCTCAATCGTGCTGGTCTCAGAGGCTCTTCCTTCGTTGCTGGGGAGTTGCCTTCCCCCAATCAGCAACCCGGGGGTCCTCTATTCTGACACGAAGCTCTACAGGTTTCGTGTATCCACTGGGGATCCCTCCAAACGCGAGAAGAGGTGATCAAAAGCCACAGCTGGGCTTCTCCACCTCTGGACGTCCCTGTCCTGCCACCGGAAGCTCTCCAGTTCTCTTTTCAAGGTCACTTCAGATTTCTTTCTTTCAATTTTAACTCCAGACTCTGGCTATCAGTAGTTTCACAGAAGAGCACCTGTATAAACAATCTACATGCTCTTCCCACTATCTTTTCAATGAAAGTCCTTGAATATAACACCAGTTATATCAACAAGTAAGAAAGAAAGAAAAACAATGTATCCAAGCCTCCAGATGGCAGTGTTACTTATTTCCCTTCCCTTTCACTTCACCTCAAATATTTAAGCTAGAAATAAATGAAAAAGAAAATAAAGTTGTTAAAAAGAAAAGAAAAAAAGAATCTTAATCAAAAGGGACTTTCAAAGGAGTTATTTAAAAAAAGAGAAAAATTAAAAAAGAAAACCAGTCCAGTTTAAAATTGAGAAGCCTTTACAAAAATTCAAGTTCCAATAAAAAGGTGGGGGGGAGCCTTCAGGTTTAATTTGTGCTTAATCTCGCTGCTTAACCACTTTTATCTTCACTTTTACATTTTACTTTTAGTCTTTTAGGGTGTTCTCTCCAAAAAATAGTAAATAAAAATTTATCTCACCAAACTGACACACTTTCTTTCCACCTTTCTTCTGTTCCGGAGCTGTCCCAGCTTCAGCAGCTTAAATGGCTGCTTCTCCACCACAGGAAAAAAGGGCTTCTCCTGGATCTACCAGGGACATTGCAATGTCCATGGGATCGACAGGAAGTGCCTTTCTCAATTACCATCTCTACAGGACGTTTTAGGTCCGGTGGGACTGTCCTGCAATGGAGATATCAGCAGCGATGTTGGAGCTTCAAGATCGCACACTGTACCGCCGTGACGCCAGCTCCGCCCTCCAAGCCACATGCATCATGTTTTATATTATTGTATATAAACAGGTTTCTTCTATAAATGAATCCTGCTGAATTATTTACTTCTGTGCTGGTTGGATTGCATACTCTGACACACACTATTATGACAAGAGATTATTTAGAAATCAAATGTTCTTGATTAGCACATGCAGAATTGTAAATTATTATTATAGCTACTCTTTTTTTATCTATTTTTTTTTATCTAAGTTACCACACTTCTTTAAAAGATTTTAAGTGAGTCAGTTATAGTGTCGATTACTTTAATCAGTACCCTTTCATCCATTTCTTTCTTATTCTTTTCCAGTTAGCTTCTAATAAGGAGATTTATTTCCTTTTCCCACATGGCCTTGTATAAAGAAGACTTCAGAATTTGATATCTAAGCATTCCAGAAAACCTCCACTCCAACAAATAACTCTGAGATAGACATCCTCTCAAAAGTTCTGTTTTATTTGGATAGTAAATTGGCACATTTGGGAAATCCCGAATCTGAAAGTTCCAGGTTTCCTTGCAATAAGTAAAAACTACAAACCCACCTCCTGCACCCATCATTGCATCACATGACCCAATCACCATCCGTCCCAACTTGAGACATCCCCTCACCCAAGTGCAGAATAACATGACTTTGACTTAAAAGAAGAATGCTATTATATTTAACCACATACACTCCAAGAAATTCCCCCCTCCCATTTCCCCAGGCTCAAGAATGTGGCAGTGTGGAAGTGTCTGGTGTTAATATGTCTTCCAAAGCTGACAGCTATACTGACAACATGTCTTCTGTCCCTCAGATACTCTACCTGCACACAAAAAAAGAGTAGGACAAAGGTATCCAGGCCTTTGCAAACTTGTTACTGCTTTTTCTGATCCTGCCCTCACGCTTCTGTTGTCCTTTTCATCCTTTTCTTTGCATTTCAGTTTATTGTTACCTTTTCTTTGGATTCTTCCTAATGATGTACCTCTCTTCATCAGTTCTGACCTTCCCTCTGGTAGTTTGTTTCTAAAAATGTCCCAGAACTTTTTAGAAATCTCCTTTTGAATCTTGTTTTCTTCCATTTGGCCTGCGGCTATCTTTTATAAGGAGCAGCTGGTGCAGCATTGCAAAGAACAAACAGTAGAAGTTGGATAGGAAGGCAACCACCTTGAACCAAGTTGTAGCCTGCCTTACAATAAAAAGGTAATTAGCCCTGACTGTATTTTCATGACAATAAAGTATTTGTTCAGGATGAAACATCTATTTAGATAAGATGAAAGGTATATTCTCCATTATTTGTATAAGACAACTGTGTGACTGGAAAGCCATTTTTTAATCAGCTGGTTATGACATAAATTTTAGTCCACATTTTTTTAAAATCCAAGAACCTAACTCAGACAGCAAAACTGAATACAAATGAAATAATACAGAAATGTGGTTATGTCTTTTAATATTTTTTAAAATTAATTTCTGCTCCATCAAAATGAGTTAAATATTTTTTCATTCTTTCTGTAAGTGAAAAATTTTGAAACCCAGCCTGCCTTAAAGTACATAACATATGCATACTGCTACTCTCCTGATAATAGATCTCACTAACTTAAAATAAAAGGAAATTTTATTATTTTTTAGCTTCTATTAGAATTCTTCCTTTATGACCTTTAAATATTTCCATTAGATCTTGATTTAGCTTCAACATCAGCTTCAATAGGGACAAAATAAAATAAAAAAAATTCCAACCCACTCAGTTTTATATGTGTTGGAAAAAAATATTCCAATAATTCCCAGACAATTCTGATGGTGTGACCCTTAAACATATGAAGGCTACTAATTTGGCAAAAGATGTCATGTGGAGACACCTTTGCCATTGCTTTTGTTGTTCATGAGACTAGTCAAATAGCCATTTGTGAATTAGCACTGTAAATATACTACACAATGCAAAGGTTTCTACCTTAACAAGACAGTTAATTGGAAGCATTCCTTATTTTCAAGTCAATAATAAATCTTTCCTTAAAAAGCTATACATCAATGACTGACAATATATTTTAAGTGTATAGGGTCTGAGTTGAATACCAATAATTGCCAGAAATCTTTTTTTAAAGAAAAATACCTGCCTGTTATATTAAATATCAATCAATGTAGATATTATGGAGGCCTGTGAATTTGTTACATTTTGTTTAAAAAAAACCTCATCCACTTCATACTTCCTCCTCCTTAAGATGGTTTGTTTTACTGTTGTGTTTTCATTGCAGCCATAAAATGCTGATATTGTTTTCTGCATAATAGTGCAAGTGACACTTTCAAGTCCTCCATTACCAATTCTGATTATTTTGCTATCCAGAATAAACATTAGCCTTCTGGTTGAAATGAAGACTCAAGTACTTTTTCTTAAATGGAGCATATGCAGAGAAGTCCTTCCCTGCAACTGGGTAGAAATGTTTATTGCCTTCATTCTGCACAAGTGCTTCTTGCTTGAAAGAGAGAACAGCCAGCATGGTAAACAATAGTAGAGTGACTCATTAGTACTTTGTGCAACTCTATTTGGCTCAATTCCAACAGGAACATTTGTTCCTGTAGTTGCTGGTAGCACTCTAAACACCAGGCTTAGTTGAGATCCAAAACTGAATGGTAGGGACATGATTAGAGAGCAGCTGCAATTTCTTTTCTTTTGCTCTGTGAATCACTGAACAAGCTGCAACAGCCACTTCTCTATTGGTCCCATTTGGGTATATTTATTCCTCTTTCCCTAATGAAGAGTAAGTGCTGGAAAGAGAGCTTGATGGGGGAATTCCCCCTTTCTGTAAAATATATTTGGTTTCAATTCCAACTATAAGAATCACTTTGATTAACAATTAATGTAGCAAGTGGTGAAAGCACTTCAGACGGATAGCATTCTGCAGTTAGGAGAAAAACTGATGGGTCAGAAAAATGTGTTGATATATTTTGTGTAGGATTAAAATTCTAGATAATTAAAACTGGGACCATTCTCTTGTTTCTTAAGATAGGCAATTTCTACATGCTTAAGATATAAAGCAATTGAAATACAAATGTTCAATAACTAAAAGCAGTCCTCAAAAAGATGAGAATTTATCTAGATACTTAAGAATACAAAGTCTTAAGAAAGATGAGTGGAGAGCAGCTATACTATATCTGCTAAGATCAGTTTGTAGACTTCTGAAACGTATGTGGATAGTGACTGAATTAAACAGAGTTTGAATCTGATCAAGAAGACTGATTTCATATTTTTCATAATATGAGGTCCTGCATCCAACAAGCTCAAATGAAATATTACAAATTTAATAAATTATCCCAGGTTTCTTGAGACAACTGTTTTGCAAGCCATAATAAAGTACAATAAGATTTGATTTGCTTCTCAATGAAAGGAAAAAAGAGCATCTGGAATGTTCTTATTGCATTACTCTAAGATTTAGGCAATCACAATTTCAATAAACATAAAATTATGAAGCTTTCTGTTCAATGTTATATATTCACAAATGGCATTATTTTGTATAAGTTTCATTCAGTATCTAATCATCCCTTTTGGGGGGAAGTTGGTTGAAAAAGTGGTTGTACAATAACTCCAAAGGACTTGGATAAAGCAGGATTCAGTCAGAATTCAGATCTGGTTGTCAAGTGTTGACGAAATCAGAAAATTCAAACAGTTCAAATGTGTATAAAGATTTATTGCAAGCTTAAGCTCTTTACAAAAATCTGACCTACTAATGATCAAGAGAAATGAACAGAAATAAGAAGACATTCAAGGTGGACTGCATTTAAATCACTTGTGAGTGCACCAGGACTTGTGATTTATGACACATCTTACCCCCTTCCTCAGGTTCTGCCTGGTCATCTCTTACACTGGTTATGAGATGGAAATGGACTTGGTTACACTTTTGGATGATCTTTGGCAAGGGTGAGATGGGGGCTATACATCCACCCTTGCCCTACTTGATTTCTGAATGGCTTTTGTTACAATCAACTATAGTAGCCTTCTGGATTTGCTCAGAGGATTGGGAGTGGGCAGTATGGTTTTGTACTGGTTTGTCTCATTTTTTCGTGTTTGTGTTCAATTCCAGTTAGTGATGATTCCTGCCCTCTACTATGTGGGTGCTGCAGGGTTTGAATTAGAATTAGAATTCTTTATTGGCCAAGTGTGATTAGACACACAAGGAATTTGTCTCTTGTGCATAAGCTTTCAGTATGTATACAACAATAGTGATAGATCATTATCCTAGTCATTGTAAAAATGCATTAATCATAAAACATTAGATACATCACTTAGTGATAGTCATGGATACTAAATAAGCAATCAACATAAATCATACTAAGTAAACAATATAAATCATAAGATACAAGCAACAAAGTTATAGTCATAAGAACACTTAAATAAGAGCCAGCAGTGTACTATAGTTGCCAAGAAAGCCAACACAGTTCTAGGCTGCATCAGCTGAGGGGTAGAATCAGGGTCATGTGAGGTGTTAATACCACTTTTAATGCCTTGCTAAGGCCAAAATTGGAATACTGCATATTGCATTGGTAATCACGATGTAAAAAAGATTTTGAGACACTAGAAAGAGTGTAGAGAAGAGCAACAAAGATGATTAGGGGACTGGAGGCTAAAACATATAAAGAATAGTTGCTGGAATTGGGTATGTCTAGTTTAATGAAAATAAGGACTAGGGATGACATGATAGCAGTGTTCCAATATCTCAGGGGTTGCCACAAAGAAGAGCGAGTCAAACTATTTTCCAAAGCACCTGAGGACAAGACAAGAAGCAATGGATGGAAACTAATCAAGGAGAGAAGCAATCTAGAACTAAGGAGAAATTTCCTGAGAGTACAATTAACCAGTGAAACAACTTGCCTCCAAAAGTTGTGAATTCTCCATTTGTCTGAAATGGTATAGGGTTTCCTGCCAGAGCAGGGGGTTGGACTAGGAGACCTCCAAGGGCCCTTCCAACTCCTATTCTATTCTATTCTATTCTATTCTATTCTATTCTATTCTATTCT